TGGGAATGTTTAGCCTGGAAAAGAGAAGGTTAAGAGGTGATATGATAGTCCTGGCTAAATATTTAAAGGGATGCATATTGAGGATGGAGCAAGCTTGTTTTCTGTTGCTCCAGAGAATAAGACAGGGAGCAATGGCTGCAAACTACAGGAAAAGAGATTCCATCTCAAAATTAGGACCTTCCAGACAATCAGAGATGTTCAACAGTGGAAGACATTGCTTCCTTGGGAGTCTGGTGGAGTCTCCTTCTTTGGAGTTCTTAAAACAGAAGCTGGATGACCATCTGTTGGGGTGCTGTGATACTGTCTTCCTGCATGGCAAAGGGTTGGATTGGAAGGCCTTTGTGGTCTCTTCCAGCACTATGATTCTATGAATTTTAACAGAGTATCCAAGGGGCTGAATCCCACCCTAAAAACAGGTTCAGTAACCCCCTTTGCAGACGGCGCTTTGCGCCGTCTTGGAGGCAAGGAAGGGGAGGGGAAGCCTCACGCTGGGCGCCCCATCCACTTTCTGAGGACATCATCGGAGCATCCGTTGTTGCACACAACGGACGCTCCGATGACGTCCTTCCATTGCAGTGTCCAGACACGCTGCGATGGAAGAGATGCCGAAGAGGCCCGCGCCGCCTCTTGCGGCGCCCTTTCTGCACTTTGCGGAAGGAGTGCTATTTTAGCGCTCCTTCCAGGGCTGGAAAAAGAGTGGATCGGGGCTGAGGAGTGTGGCAGCCTCGGCCCCAATCCACAGCTTCTCGAAGCGGCCCATGGCCGCCCGTGTGCAGAGGCCCTAACTCATGTTTGGCAGCTCTGTTAAAGCTTGGATTAAAGTTCAGGGCAAATTGACCATCCTAACAACATGGAACCCACCAGCTGCCACAGGAGAGAGTCGTCAATAATAAATAATAAAATTTTCTAAAAATTAAAAAAAAAAGTTCCATGCCTCTGTCCCAAAATAAAATATTATTATTATTATTATTATTATTATTATTATTATTATTATTATTATTATTATTATTTCTAGCCTGCCTATTTCTAAGGGAACCAAGGCAGGTTACAAGCATAAAAATAAAAGAATACAATAAGAAAACAATAATATAGAAGTTGCATAAAAAGCAGATACAGAGGGGGAGGACTATTCTGGGAAGACCTGTCGGAAGAGATCCATCTTAAGTGCCCTTTTAAAGGCTGTTAAGGTGGCGATGTGACAGATCTCCTCCGGCAGGTCATTCCATCACCTGATATTCTTCTTTGTGGGCTCTTTGTCATAGCATTGGACAGTGAGGGGCTGCCTTTATAAAGGAGATCTCTGACTAGGAAGGTAGGAGACATGCCATTGGGGAAGGGGAGGGAGATTCGGGAAGAGCAGGAAACCAGTCCGTGGGTTGGACTGGGACCACCTCCACTGGCCAGAGTTTCCCCTTCCCCTGACTGGGGCACCTGTAGGATTGCTGAGCATCTGAGCTGCTCTGGACTCATTGCAAAGCCAGTCTCAAATAACCTTGAAAGCATCTTGATGGGCTTAGCACTAACTCACAGGTTTTGCTCTTCTAGACCAGGGGTAGGCAACCTTTTTGAGCCGGGGGCCGGGTTGCTGTCCCTCAGACAATTGATGGGCCGAAGCACCAAAAATAAATAAATAAATAAATAAATAAATAAATAAATAAAAATTAAAAAAGAATTAAAAATTTTTAAAAAATGCATGCACACTCTCTCAGCCCCAGAAAAGCCATGGCAAAACCCCTGTGAAGATTTTGCCAAGAAAACCCAAAGAACAAGTAATAACAACAATAATCAATATCATCAGGGGGGGGCGGCGGCGGCGGCAGGACCGGTTTGGGGCCGGTCCAAAGGCCTTGCTGGGCCGCATCCGGCCCCCGGGCCTTAGGTTGCCTACCCCTGTTCTAGACAGTCGCTGCTTTTATGCCAGAACTTGGAACCAGGCCTTTGCCTGCATTCCACTCTTATGAATCCTAAGAAAACTTAACAGATCATTAATCATTTTATGAGAATCCACGTCAAATGCATCTCCACATCCCTTATGGCATTTTTGTGAAGAGTAAGGCTATCTCAAAAGGATTTTGTGACTCATGCCGTGAAGTGGGATGGTGGGAGATAAATGGCAGACAAAAAGAAGGTACCCCTCCACTAAGAACATAGTTCGGCTGATGCAGCAAGGTCACTGACTTGATGGCTTTTTATAAAGGGATTAGACAGATTTGAGGAGGAAAAGGAAGAGAAGGAAGAAGCGGCCAGCAACGCCCACAAATCCTGAGGGATCAGAGGCTCTGTGTTGCGTGCTAACTGCTGGGGAGTGCCATTGCCCAGCTTGTGGGCTTTCCACCGACTGAAAGAATTTGCTGGCACAGATGGACTCAAATAATTCAGTGGGATGTCCTTGGCCAGAATTGGGATGGTATCTTGCCTGTATGAGAGCAGTATTCCAAGGGAGCCAGCGTGGTGCAGTGGTTTGAGTGCTGGACTATGCCTCTGAAGACCAGGGTTCGAATTTCTGCTCGGTCATGGAACACCCACCGGGTAATCTTGGGCAAGGCACACTCTCTCAGCCTCAGAGGATGGTAAAAGCAATGCCCACCCCTCTTCTAAACAAATCTTGCCAAGAAAACCCCACAATAGGATTGATTGCCCTTAGGGTTGCCATAAATTGGAAATGACTTGAAGGCCCCCAACAAGTATACCAAGACAAAGTATCAGCGTACAAAAGAATCTTATAGCACCTTTCAGAATAACACCTTCTGTTAGTCTCAAAGGTGCTTCACATTTCATTTGTGTACATGTGTATAAGTTCCCTTATGCACACAATTGTACTTCTGTGGCTGCTTTCTAATGGACATACTCATTTGGTGGTTGCATAAACAGAACTCCACAGGTGCCACTATTTCACCTGGGCCTAAATCCTGTTGTTAGGATTAACCTGCGTGTTGACTCAACAGTCAGCAAGCCCTTGAATGGCTCTCCTTTAAGTGGGGCCAACCAGCAGGTTTCATTCCATGGAGCTGCTCATTCTAAGACAGCACCTTGCTCTTTCTTAGTGCCTTCAGCACATCTCTTGATTCCCTGGCATGGTAGAAAGAGCCACTGTGCATTATTCCCCGTTGCACAAGGGGACGGTGAGCAGGGACACTGCCAGAGGTGCCATTGCCTGCACAAGGTTGGTACTGAGCAGAAGTGTAGTGTAGCACAACCACCATGTCACTGTGAGCATAGATTTACACTGTGCAATGACAATGTAGGATCTCAGCCCCCGTGTTCTTAGGAGCAAAGGGGACAAAAACTTTTTTGGCCACTTTAGGGTTACTTGCTTGTAAACCTAGACAGTAGGGGCCTCTTGTTAACACATTGCCTGGGATTCTTCTAAGTGCCTACAGTGTCAAGTTGCTTCAGTGCCATAATTGGGCTGTTGCCTACTAGGCTTTCTTTTTAAAAGGCATGTATCCCCCTGGTTACAACCTGACTATTAACAGGAATTTTGCCAGAATGGCTCCCACCAGTGTGCCTCTGCCTGAGCTGTGGTACGACAGGTGGTCTGCATTCCTCCCTTCTCATTGGGCTCAACCCCCAGAAAGAGGAGGCACTGTGGCTTTGCCAAGAGGAGGAAGGAAAGGAGAAGAGGGAGAAAAGACACTGTGGGATATCCCTGAGAGGAAACCCATATGGCTTGTGGTGCGCCATTTGAGTCTCTCTTATCTAGAAATCCAAAATTGTCTACATGGGTGGCTGAGATAGTAGCATCTTTGCTTTCTGATGGTTAAGTGTAAACTAACTTTGTTTCATCCACAGACTTATTAAAAATATTGTGTCTAAAATTATCTTCAGGCTATGCATATATTCATGTTTAGATTTGGTCCTATCTCTAAGATAGCTGTTGTTGTTGTTGTTGTTGTTGTTGTTAACCACCCTCAAGTCAATCTCAACTCATGCCAGCTCCATAGATGAGACATCTGCCAGACTCCCTGTCCTCCACTGTTCTCCTCAGGTTCTGCAAAGTCATACCTGTGACCTCCTTAATACAGTCCATCCATCTAGCAAGCGGTCTTTCTCTTTTTCAACTTCCCTCCACCTTTCCTAGCACTATTGTCTTTCCCAATGAGTCCTGCCTTCACATGATGTAGCCAAAGTATGACAACTTCAACTTGATCATCATGGCTTCCAGAGAGAGTTCAGGCTTGATCTGTTCAAGGACCCATTGGTTTGATTCTCGATAGTATTATCAGCACTTTTCTCCAACATCACCCCTGAAATGAGTTGATTTTCTTCTTCTCCGCTTTTCTCACTGTCCAACTCTCACATCTGTATATGGTAATGGGGAATAAGATGGCTTGTACGATTCTAACTTTTGTGCTCAGCTGTATACCTTTACACTTTAAGATCTTTTCTAGTTCTTTCATAGCTGCCCTCCTCATTCCTAACCTCCTTCTGATCTCTTTATGGCAGTCCCCATTTTGATCAATGTTGGATCCAAGATATGGAAACTCTTTAACTATTTTGATTTCCTTTTTTAAAAAGAATTTTTTATAAAGTTTATTAAACATATAAAACCATAACACATATCAAACATTTCAAACATATCTATCTCAATCAACAATCAAAAAATACAGACTTGACATGACATAGATATCAACTCACACCCGTACCTCCATATTACATACCATTTCTAAATCCTCCCATCCAATACCTTCCCCCTCCCCTCCTTTGATCTCTCTTTTTCCTTCTCCCTACGTCCCACTTCCATTCCTTTCTTTCAATCTCCTTCATACTTCCTCTTCCCGCATCCTTCCCATTCTCCTTCCCTTCCCATCCTTTTCTGTCATCCCCATCATGTATAGGGGCCGGGAACGATCTGGGAGCGAGGATTGAGGTTGCGCAGGGGAAGGGAAGGTATGGCGGCAACAAAGTGAAGAGTTGTTACAAAAGAAGGCGGGATCGATGTTTAATATCTATCCCCCCTTCAGCTCACTCTGTTTCCCAGAATAATTTGGAGAGCGTACCAACCATTCCACAGACCCTTACTCTGCTCCTTTGCAATACCAGGTCGGTCAAAAACAAAACTCACATCATCCATGACCTTTTATTGGACAAGGCAGCCGACCTGGCTTGCCTTACTGAGACCTGGCTGGGAGAGGCCAGTGCTGGGACTTGGGCACAGGCCCTCCCAGCCGGGTACTCAGTTAGTGAGCAGGTAAGAGAAAGTGGACGCGGGGGTGGAGTGGCTCTGGCTCACAAAAACAATCTAATCTTGACCAGGAAGTCTTATCTGGAAAACAGCCCACATCAAGTGTATGTACCTAAGCCTAAGGACTAGGGATAGTATAGGGATTCTGTTAGTATACCGGCCACCTCGTTGCCTAACAGAGTCCCTAACCGAGCTGACACAGCTGGTCTCAGAGTTGTTGCTGGAGTCACCCAGACTTTTAGTTTTGGGCATCTTCAACATTCCACTTGAGACCGGTCTGTTAAATCTAAATGGCGCAGCTCGGGAGTTCATGGAATCCATGACAAACATGAGCCTATCCCAATTAGTCATCGGGCCCACTCATTGTGCAGGTCATATCCTCGATGCGGCCTTTAGTACGGAACAGGAATACCCATGGGCAGAGGTTGTTAAAACCTCCACCTTGTCATGGATGGATCATGCCACTGTCTGCACCACTGGCGGGGGTGGACCTATTAGGACCTATTAGGATGGTCCGCCCTCAAAGGCTAATGGAACCAATTGGATTCCAGAAAGCCTTAGAGGGATTAGTGGTTGGTAACGCCAGTGATTCTGTCGAAGCTTTGGTTAATACTTGGAACACCGATCTTCCCAAGGCTATCGACACAATCACTCCCAAGTGTCCTTTCCAGCCCACTCCTAATCGTAAGCCCTGGTATTCAGAGGAGCTTAGGAAGATGAAGCAGACAGGACAACGACTAGAGCGCAACTGGCGGAAGACTCGACTCTTATCCGACAGGACTCGTTATAGGGATTTTCTTGATTTGTATTGAGAGGCAACGCGTGCAGTGCAAAAATCCTTCTCCTCTGCATGTATTACGTCTGCAGAGTCCCATCCAGCGGAGCTGTTCAGGGTGGTGGGGGAACTGACGAAAGTTCCACCTGCACAGAACCCCTTACTTAACCCGACAACGGCCTGCTATGACGCGTTTAACATCTACTTTGCAGATAAAATCTCTCGGATAGGAGCTGACTAAGATGCCAGTGTTATGACAGAAGCTATAGACGAGGTGTCCAGCAACTCCATTGATGTAATTTTACTGGATCAGCTTCAGTTTGTGAGTACCGATGACGTGAACAAGCTCCTTGGTAAAGAGAGGAGGACAACTTGCCCCCTCAATCCTTGTCCATCTTGACTGGCTGTCCAAGGGGGTGACGCATTTAGAATACTCCTTAGGGATATTATCAATGTGTCTTTCAGGGAGGGGGTTGGTCCGTCTTGTTTGAAGGAAGCGGTGGTTAAGCCGCTCCTGAAAAAACCTTCCCTGGACCCCTTGGACAGGAACAACTATAGGCCAGTCTCCTTGCTGCCTTTTTTAAGCAAGGTGATCGAGAGGGCGGTCGCTTTCCAACTCCAAGCTGTCTTGGATGAAATCGATTATCTACATCCATTTCAAACTGGCTTTAGGACAGGATATGGAGCTGAGACTGCCATGGTTGCGCTGGCTGACAACCTCTGCTTGGGTATCGACAGGGAGAGTGTGACCCTGTTGGTGCTCTTAGACCTCTCAGCGGCTTTTGATACGATAGACCATGGCATCCTCTTGGATCGCCTGAGAGGATTAGGTATTGGAGGCACTGCTTTGCAGTGGTTCCATTCCTTCCTCTCGGGCAGATCCCAAAGGGTGAGGCTCAGGGACAGTTGCTCTTCTAGAATAGAGCTTAATTGTGGCGTCCCTCAGGGCGCCATCCTGTCCCTGATGCTATTTAATATCTATATGAAGCCGCTGGGAGAGATCATTCGGAGGCATGGAGCGCGGTGTCATCAGTATGCTGATGACACCCAGATATACTTCTCCATGACCCAGCTTTGACTTCAGATGGTGTCTCTCCTCTCAATAATTGTCTTAAAGCTGTAATGGACTGGATGAGCAAAATCAGACTGAGACTGAATCCAGACAAAATGGAGGTACTAACAGTCACGGGCCCGAAACCAGGTCTGGGAATACAACTTCCAGTCCTGGATGGAATCACACTCTCCTCCAAGGACTGTGTTCGCAATCTGGGGGTACTCCTAGATTCATCGCTTCACATGACTAATCGGGTGAATGCGACGGTCAGGAGTGCCTGTTATCAGCTTCGGCTGATACG